CCGTAAATTCTAGTCGTAGGGCTGCAATCGTCAGGGCTGGTGGAGGCGCAATGGTGGATTGGTTGCTGGACTCGGTGGCCATTGCCAAGGATGGTGGTGGCGCTCAAGCAGAGTCGGCAAGAGCGCTTGCTTACTTGATTGCCGATCCCAATGTATCTGTCATTGTACTTGGGCGGCCTCATGCAATTCCAAATCTTTTAAACTTCATTTTTTCTTGTCATCCTCGTCGATTAAAGAAGGTAGCTCTATGACCTTGTTGTATTTCTGGGTTGTAATCCTCGTGTCAGCGATAAATCTGAACACACAATTTATGATTGGCATTGGCTTAGTGATCAATCCATTAATTTTATCAGAAAGTGTTTTGTTTTCATTGAATTGTTATGCGCATTATGACATGTATTTGTAGCTGTCATGTACTTGTTGTAATGTCCCTCGATGAGGGAGAAGGATATTCGTTTTTCTTGAACGCTTAACCCTTGATCATTGTGTTATACTAATTATGCTCTGGCTACTATATATTTATTTGATTAGGGCAAACTTAACTCATGATATTGTCATACTTCCTATTCTTGTTTCGACATCAGTGACATGATGCAATTTTCTTTGGCAGCAGCTTTCATGGAGAAGTTCATTTGATATTTTTGATTCTTTGAAAGGTAGGAGCATGCTTGTGGCAGCCATTATGGATATTGTTACTTCCAGCTGTGACAATGTAGAAGAGATATCTTTTAAGCCACCTTTGCCTAGAAATGGTAATCCTAAAGATATCCTAGCTGCCTTACAGGTAGTTGAGGAAGGTTGTTTGCACTTGGATGAGCCAAGTAAAAGTGAAGGTGATAAACATGGCAGAACAGGGAGGAAAGGTGTTGGAATTAAAATACTCGAAGGTGCTACACTTTTAGGGCTTTCAAAAACTAGCTGGCTAACAAAGTTGGATAATGCTGATTATAGTCAGGCAGAGCTAGCAAAGCATACTCCTGAAACTCTTGTGTTACAAAGTAAGAATGATGATTTGCTTGGACATGCGAATATGTCTTCTGCTGTTGTCCTTGGCCTCTAAGATGATTTACAGTGGGAACATGTTGCTGTTCCTTTTGCCACGTGGGCATTAGCAAATTGGGCAAAGGCATCACAGGTAAATATATCTTATATTTAAGAACTGGATAAAGATGTATATGCTATCATGTCCGCTTTGATGGTCCCTGAGAGATCTGTGAGATGGCATGCAAGCTTGCTAGCACAATCACTACTAGAGGATTGCAAAATGCCTTTGAATGATTTTGTTTCTGATTTGAGTTCCAGGCTTCTTTCTACTATATCTGAGGCATGTACGCATAAGGACATTTCATTGGCTCAGGTGGCTTTGTCTGCCTTTCTGTTATCTGTTGAGAGGATTGATGGGGCGCGGAATATAGTGATGGAAAAGGGTCTTAACACAATGAGAGGCATTGCCAAGCAGACAGCAGAGCATACACAGGTGCAAGAAGCGATAGCAAAGGCATTAGAACTTCTCTGCACAGAAGAACTACATTTATCCCTTCAGGAGGGTCAAAAGTGGTCAGGTATTCTTCTTCCATGGGTTCTTGGAAAATTTTCTTCTGATGCAATGCGATCTTCAGCTATAAAGATCCTCTCTCGGATCCTTGAAGATTATGGACCATTGTCTGTATCGGTTTCTCAAGGATGGTTAGCATTATTGCTAATTGAAGTCCAAAATTCTATCAAGAATTCACGTGATAAAGGGACTAGTCCCAAAAGTGATAATGTCAAGGTATGCACCATCTTTTTCTTCTACTTTCATCTGATTAGTAAATAGGTCAAAATCACGATTCTCAGTTCATATAATTATCCAGCTTTACTACAGAAACTTCAAGTCGGTGGTTAAATACACTTTTTAGCTATGTTGATGAGTTTGAGGTAACAAAATTTTATAGACTCTGATCTACAACTCAAATGTCGCTTCTGTTGTGCAAGTAGTAAATCAGTTAACCAGTGCTGTTGTTAATCTAGCAACTAAACAAATGGAACCAACTGCTTCTAATTCTTTAGAACCATTCCCACTGGCATATTTTCTTTCTCTGGATCCCTTCTTGGGACTATTTAAAAAATTAAAGAAAGATAGTTTGCCAAAATTTGATGCTGTAAATTCTGTCTTGGCAACCCTGAAAGGAATTAAAACTTTGACTGAAGTTTGTGCTGAAGACCTTCAACATCAAGAGATGATTGTTGATTTGGGTATTTTGTGTTTGCTAAGGCACTTTTTGTTAAGTGATGATTATGAGAAGTTAGCTGCTAATGAAGCATATGATGCATCTATAGCTCATGAAGGGCATGAGCAGAATTCAAATATTGATGATGAACCATCTATATCAGATATAAATGATTTATCTAGTGTTCGAGTTCCACCTACAGCTTATATACATAGGCATGCAGCTCAGCTAGTGACAATCCTCTCAAACCTTCCCAAAGTCCAAAAGATCATCATAGCTGACAGAGCTTGGTGTAAATGGCTTGATGATTGTGCTAGTGGCAGGGTTCCTGGATGTCACGACCTTAAGATGCAAAGTTATACCAGGGCAGCACTCCTAAATGTATTTTGCAATTACCAAAATAATGGTAAAACTGGAAGTAGAACCTCATCTGACACTGTTGTACTAACTAATCAGAACTTATGCCCCTATTTTGATGACATGATATTCTTAATAAATCCTTATCTTCCTGTCTGGAAATGTCCCAAAGAAATAGCTCAAGATTATACAGTCTCAGAGGACATATCTATGGCTAATTCTGATTACGTGGCTGAAACCAAACAACCAAATTATGGCAGCTGCATTAATTCTATCGATTCATCCAAAAGCAGCACAACTACAAAATTACCTTAAATAGATGTTGTTTTTGTCCATGGCCTCCGTGGTGGGCCTTTCAAAACTTGGCGCATAGCTGAGGACAAATCCTCAAATCAGTCTGCCTTGGTTGAGAAGGTTGATCTGGAGGCAGGAAAGCTTGGAACTTTCTGGCCTGGTGAATGGCTTTCTAGTGATTTTCCTAGGGCTCGCATGTTTACCCTAAAGTACAAGGTGTGCTTTAGTCAGATTATCAAATTTTTGCCTTATAAGTCTTGGATGTTAATTTTCTATTCACTCTCCTAGCTTTTGTAGAGCATTTCTTCTGGTGGGATCACCATCACTACTTAACATTAATAAATGATATATGCAGACTAATCTCACACAATGGTTTGGAGCTAGCCTGCCACTTCAGGTTAGATTTTCTTCAATTTTTGGCTGTGTACAATCTCATGTTAGGGTTTTCATCCTCTGTGAGCCTTGATAGGGACTGTAAATTTTCCTTTCTAATGTTATATCACAGTTATGATTTGCAATTAATATCAAACGCCCTGACTTGCAATCACAGAAATGGTCTCACTGTGTGTGTATGGAAGTCATGTTTGTTAAATTATAATTTCAGATTGTAGAAGTGTTGCAGTCAATGCTACTACTTACATGACCTGTGCTTAAAATGGAATCTTGTTGTGGGGATTTGTTGAGTTCATTACATACTTGCCTTTGTTACCAAAAAATATTGTTAATACATGATCCTTAAATTATAATTTCACTTAATTTACTTTTCGAACTTTGCATTGTTAAAAAAAAACTATATATGCCAATTTTTAAAGAGTTACATAAAACTTGAGGTGAATTATATTGATTAATTTTGACTTAACTAATACGTGGCGTTCTATATATTTTAGATTACCCTATCTATGCGTAGTAGATTCATTTAAATTTCTATACAAATGTACATAAAGTTTTTTATTTTGGCACAACATATATAAAGGTAAGACCCACGATTATACACGTACTTGGTTGATAACTTGATATTGACTTTTAACAACCATTATTAATATTAATAAAATTAATTTTTATACAAGTTGTAGTATTTATAATCGGGATGGGTTTTCCTACTTATCCTAAGGATGAGAGCTGTACCATCTAGATTTTAATTTAGATAATCTAAATTTAAAGTATCATTATATATTTTTATATTATATTTCTTAAAATAAAAAAGTATAAAAATTATAAAATAATTTTAATAAATTTTTTGTTTGTAATCTGGTATAAATTTAATTTAGGGAGTCTAGATCTCTTTTTATTTGGACTATACAAAGTATATCTGAATAATCAATAAACATCAATCATAAAATTTTTAATATTAAATTAAACCTTCTAAATTAAATTTAGACCAAATTAAGAATAAAAAATTTATTAAAATTATTTTATAATTTTTATAAATTTTTTCAATAAATATAATAAAAATATTTTAAATATGAATCATTCAGATTAAAATTTAAATAATCTAAATTAAAATTTGGATGGACCAACTCTCATCCCAACCTTAAAATGAGCAGGAAATAAAACCATCCCATTTATGACCTATGGTCGCTTCCTTTCAATATTTATTATTCACAGGGTCAATATTGCAACATACGTTGAGATTCGTGCCTGATCTTATTTATTTCCACTGTCATCATAATTCATATCCCCTCTCTTCGTTTTTTTTTTTTTTTTAATTTGGGATTTCTAGTTAAAAATGTATTCAAGCCAATATGTTTACTTTCTTTGTAAACGCTCAAACGTAATTTCCATTGCCTGGGGGAAAATCTAGTAGTGTGAGACATGCATTGATATAGATGTAGATATATATATATATATATATATTGCTTAAGCTCTTTATCGGATACAAGGAAATCTTTTTCAAGTCACAAGCGGAGGATAAGAAAGAATATGAAAATGTGACAAGCGATGCATGCCCCACTGCTACTAACGAACAAAATTTTGTGGCTAGCCAGAAAGAAAACGTAGCTATGAGGATAAAACCAAGAAGTGTTTTGACTTGCTTGACTGCTTGTGCTTCGCATCAGCATGGTTCTCGATTCCAAGTGACAAACGTACTCGTTAAGAACAGAAAATTAAATATGTTGAGTTGGAATTTGCTCAATCACGTTAGGCCTTGTCAGCAATAATATTCCCACTTGGTATTTTAGAATTAGATTCCCTCAACCGCTTCTCCTGGGATAGCAATTCTGCAAACCTGCGCGAGAGAGGGCCGTGACAAGGATAATTTAACAATTCAACAGATTTGTGCAAATTTCTCTCATCGTCGGTTCTCAAGTATACCTTTTCAGAGCCTCCGCGTTGGTCTCACGGCCGTAAGGTTGATAATTACCGGTATCCAAGTTAACCCGAGAAACAGGCCTTTTTAACGATTGCTCTCCAACTTCAACTAGATCATTCAAATTTTTCAGCGTGGCTACGTCGACGGGAGATATTTGTCCAAGTAATGTATCATCCTGCAATCATACAGGACCGTTTTACTGAATTCATCCCACACGTACGACAATAACTGATTATATGACTTAGAAAATTGCATGTATAGGAGTACCTGAATTCGGAGGTAAGTTTTCTGGGAGGAGAGAGCTTTTAAAACAACGGAGAGATACAAGCTAACCATATCGGCACCGGCCTGATTGAAGACGTCAACCAAAGGGGTAGAGCCATTACCGGTCAACCATCCCAAGACACCCCACTTAGCTGCTTCATCCGCACTGTACTTTCGCGCTTTGTGGCAGCCGGTTCCTAAAGATATCACCAAGAATCTGTCATATTCCAGAGGCCTTATGGCAACGAAGTCTGGGCTATTTTCAATGATTTCCCTTGTCACTTCTCCAACAGCAACCAGTGCCTGCAATTACACCCACGATCGTACTTACCAATGTTATTCTCCATTTTCCAGTGAGATTTACACGGAAATTTTTTTATGTTTTGATATGAGTACCGGATTATTTGCGGCAACTCCTCCGTCGATGAGATTGAACTCTCTCATTGCTTTGCCTTCGGCGTCCTTTGTTTGAAAATAATGAGCTGCAAGATAGGTCGGAGCTGCTGAAGTTGCAATGCATATATCGGAGAGCAGGGCGTTTAAGCTAGGGTTATGCTTCACCTGTGAAATCGACATCTCTCGTAACTAATGATGAGAAAAGTAGTAAAATTAAAACTTCAATATTCTAAATTTCTAATCACGCGAGATCGTTCTTGAATGTAGATTGGCAGCATCATTTTCAGATAGAAAGGGTGTCATATAGAAGGAAAGAGTATGGAGGCGGAGCATGCTGCCAATCAGGTGATGAAGATGCTAACCTGAAAACTGGAAAAGATGGTCGGCTGAAGGTTCTTGATGTCAAAGGTAGGGATCACAACATTTGTCAGTGTCTGGTTCAGTTTCGTGTCACCTAGTTTTTCCTTAACTAGGCTATGTAAATACTTGCCGTTGTACTTAGGTCCGGACAGAGCCTTCAAGACCTTTGCAGCATGACGAAATAATTTACTTCTGTTTGCCACATATATCAATGTTAGATTGTTTTTGTTGAGACTCGAGAAAAATTTAGAAAGACAAATGGAAGCGCATGTGAAATAGTGGCGCATTGTGTGCGGGTATTACAATGAGTTTACTTGTTTTGTGGGAAGATTTTGGGGCTGTTGTCAAGGTAAAACTTCTTGATATCTGTGGCCGCAAATAATGGTCGGTTCTTTTCATTGGGTGCAGTTAACATGGCAGTCACCAAGCCGCCTGTGCTTGTTCCTGCAATCACGTCAAAATAGTCGGCCGGTCTTGCATCTTCGCCATCCAATCTCTGTACCATATATGCACACACACAACCAACCGCATGTTATTACTATGTATTCGTGACCGGTGCATTTTTAATTGATATAGAACGAGAGAACCTTTTGGTGAAAGTGGGCATGCTACCTGAAGCTCGGATTCGAGGAAAGCAAGTATAACTCCAGGAATGAGTCCCCTTATGCCACCTCCGTCGATGCTGAGCACCGGTAATTAGCTTTCCAAACTTCTGTGGCAGTAAGGATCTGCTCCTTTCTAATCCCATGTGATTCAAATATGAGATGTATAACCGCAGGCAATGAACCTTAAAGGGAAAACTGAACGAATCCGAAATATTAATGTAGCTAGTAATTATATACGCCTCAGAGACTATGGAAGAGAAAGAAGCGGGTGTGTGTGTGTGTGTGTAGAAGACTGCATGCATGCGAGTCCAAATGGAGGGGTTCCGACCTTATTTCAGTTCAGTTTGCTTCCACCACAAACATAAGACAAAGTTTGACCCGTTTCCAATATCTCTTGTTCATTTACCTACTGCACGTGGGATAGGAGTTATATGTGGCCTTGACGAGAAGGAGTTGTAGGTTTGAAGATTGAGGGTGTGTTTTGGATATTCTCAATTTCACATTTAAAAAGTAAGATTTTGCTTTTAAGATGTTGAAAGTTATTTAGATAAAATATTTTATAAAAAAGTGTATTTAAATAGTGGTTGAAAGTAGATTTGAAAAATATAACTGTTTAAAACTTTTGAAAAATAGGATGTTATTTGATCATATTATCTCAAATATAATCTCTTATTTTTTTTATTTAAAAAATATTTAATTCAATAAAAATATAATTATCATTTCAATAATAATAATAATTAGGTATAAGTTTTTAACATTATAAATTGAATAATTAATCATGTTCTTTTTTAGTATTATTACATTTTTAAAATTACAAATTAAAAAGTATAAATAAATAGAGATCAAGTTTTTAGCATTATAGATCAAATTTTATATTATTTAAAATATTTATCATATTTTTTAAATATTTCAAATATATTATATTTATATAATAAAAATTATAAATCATTATAAATCAATATCCTTTTTGGTAATTGTACATTTAAAAGCACATTTCACTATCATAAGCCAAACGACTCTCAATGTACAAAACTAACTTTTGAAAAAAAATATATTCAAACATAAATTTCATTACAACAATTGACTTTCACTAAAATAACTTTTGTCAAGTAAACTTTTACCAAATGAAGTTTTAACAAATTAAAAACTAAACACACATCAAAATCTAAATGACTTTTATTTATCAAACTATCTAAATGACTTTTATTTATCAAACTAACCTTTTAAAAAAATATATCCAATAAAAATTTCATTACAATACCTGATTTTCACTAAGCAAACTTTATCAAATAAATTTTTAACAAATGAACTTTTAATAAATTAAAAATCAAACACACACTGAGTTAAACAGCCAAATGTGAATCATCTCATGCATGCAAACAAAACGTTACTCCCTCCGTCAGTTCTATTTTTTTTATAGAAAATACCCTTAGTCCAGAAATAAGGTGTTTTATAATATTATAATGACTTTCCATTTTTATCCTTCAATGCTTTTAATTATTTTTTGCTAACTTCAATGCCTTCTTATTAATCTGTTGAATTGCGAATGGTTTGGTTTTAATAAGAACAAAAATGAAAACCTTACATGTTTTTTTACAAATTTTATTAATACTATAATAAATTTTTCTTAACATATTTGAAAAAGGATTTGAAATATCATCATGAACAGGACCAAAAGGGGAGATGTTACCGGAGCCAGCTGTGTGCATTGGTTATATCCTAGAGAAAGATACTCTCGTACGTACGGTGTCCACCGTCCACTGTTTCGTGTTTGTAACGCTAGTTAAGTAGAATATTCAAACACATGGTTGTACGCACTATATAATTATAAATATTAGAAAAACGTGAATAAAATTTTTATAACGCCAGACGTGATTTCTTAGTTTTTTAGACCTGTACGCAGGAGTCTATATCATAATTAACAATAACATTTATTGTGCATTATTTCTGTATACATAATTTAAAAAGTAAAAGAATTAAAAGAAAAAATTTTTTAAAGATAAAAATAATTATATCATTTTCTTATTTTTTGAAAAATAATAAAGATAAATAAAAATAACCGAGGAATAATTACAAAGGTAAAAACGAAGAGTTATATATTTTTTTTTTCCTTTCCCCACATATCCATTCCGTTTTGAATCTAGTGGAATTACTGTGAGTGCTTAAAAATGGAGGAGAGAAACGTGCAAGGCCCTGAAGTAAAACAAGAAGAAGAAGAATTCATCAAGGGATTTGTTTCCCCTTTAGGCCCCGTTTATTTCATTGGAACCATTTTAAGAGAAATGGAACTGAAAAAGGAATAGGAAATGTAAATAGAAAAGGAATAGAAATATATTTTTAAATTTCGTTTGGCATGATTAAAAAAAAAATACATGGAATCATCATATTATTTTTATTTGATTTGTGTTTAAAATATAAAAAGTCAACAATGCCCTCATCTTCTTCACCTTCTCATTCTTCCAATTGAGGGGGCTATTCTAAAATATTAATAAGCATATCTTTTTTTGTATTGCAGGGAGGCTATTGGAAAAATAGCCTGCCCTTAAAAAAAAAAAAAACTTGACATTAGAGAATAGTTATAGCTATAACCATTCTATTTGGCTTCTTATAAAGGACAACTATAACCATAGTCATCCTCTATGCTTGGCCATCTAGGATGGTTATATATATAACTGTCCTCTAAGGCTTTTCTATTTTTAGATTTGATTGAAATTAAAACTTTATATAGAATCGTTATTTAACAATCAACTTTTATTATCTTCAATGTAGGGTAGTTTAATAACCATCCTATATAGCTTGAATAATAAAGGATGGTCAAATAGAAGACTATTATTAACCGTCCTTTATTATGAAAAATAATCGTTCTTTATGATTAGATCTGTTGTAGTGTAGGTTTAGTTTAGAAGGGCATATTTGGAATTGTGATATTTTAATAAGGACATAATGATCCTAATATTTGGGTTTCAAGGAAAATTAAAGTTTCCTTGGCTCTGCCTTAGGAGCCGAAAATCTGTCTTCTTCCTTTAAAATAGCTTCCTTGGAATCAAGTTTCATTTCAAGCAAATAAAGGAAAGTTCTTTTCTTTTTTTCCCCCCTTTCCTTCTCTTGATCCTATTTTCCTGTGAACCAAACGAGGCCTTAGGTCCTCATTTATTAATTGAGAAAAGAGACCAGTTAGCAGCGAAAAAACGCGCGTATTCCCTTCGTCGCAGCTTTAGATGAAAAAGATGCGGAAATCCAACGGGAATCAATTCATGCGACGTTTTATATAATAATTAGAAAATGTCTATTGCCCCGTTAGGTTTTGTCTAAAATTTAAGTCCGGGGTGTTTTTATATCTTTTTAAAATTAAAAAATAAATAATTTTTAAATAGTTTAAAAATTTTATAAAAAAAGATTTATTTCATAATGATTTTATAAAAAGTAAATATTATTTTATGTTTGGTTACAATAATAATAAAAATTATTAGTTAGTTAAACACTTCCTCTCTCATTTACCGTATTATATTATTTTTAGAAGCTATTCAAAGTAGTTTTTTAAAATAATTAAAAATATTTTTTTTGAGATTATTATTATTTTCAAAAATTTAGAAAAATATAATAAAACTCTCAAAATAGAATTTTTTCAAAAAAGAAGCGATGTTTTTTTATGAAATAAGCCTGATTTAATTAAAGAACTAGATTTATTCCCATGCATCGAATGTTTCAGTCTTCAAAGTATAAAAAATATAAAAGTTAAAAATTATTTTAATGTACTTGTATTTTATTATTTCATGTTAATTAAAATTTAAACGATCATTTATTTTATTTTAAAATTTTTTGTCCCTATTCACATTAAAATATAAATAATAAAATAATTTATTTTAAAATGTGTTGTCCCAGCTAAATTAAAATTTAAAGAATAATTTATACTCTGCGAGTTGGAATAGGCATATCTCATTTTGATATTTAAAACCTAAACAAATCTTGTTTAAGATGAATAGTCATTATATATTACCCATAATATAAAAAAATTATCCTTCCAAGATGTGTTATCCCCACGTACATTAAAAATTAAAATCTTGAAAAAGTTCGTTCAGTTAGATACCCACTTTTTTACTTTTCATATAAATTAAATTTATAATTTCATTGCATGTCCAGTTCCTATTATTTTTCATCAAAATCTTATATCCATTACCATTTTTTATTCAGCTTTACGTGATCTATTAAAATATAAAATTTATAATTTCACTGCAAATCTCACATCTATCATTTTTACTAATTCTCACCCTACGCCATAATTTTATACTACAAGTCCCACACTTTTTTTTTCTGTTAAAGGTTCCACGCCCATTTCTTTTAAGTGGGGTATGTATCACATATGGATGATCAAAAAGTGCACATCTCATCGCTCAAACTGGAAACAATCATCATATCATATCATACACTTTGTAAAGTACGTTGAAATCTGTAGATCTCTGCAGTGCTTTCAACATTACCTTACAAATTTTTTTTTTTGAATTTATAAATTCTTGAAAGGAGTTAGTGGGACTTGTGTATGCGTTAATTAATCCTACCTTTGTTTCTTGCCTGCTTTATCTCGGGTATGCGATAGGCCGGTTTATTTATATGTGCCATCGTATGCTTAAATAGTATTTGACAAGTTAATACAAAGTGATGACCTAACTAGCTACCTGCATGTTATTAATAACTAAGAAAGCGTGCAGCTTGGGGAACATATATGCATGCCATGAAACTTGTTGCACCGTCTCCACCAGCCCGGGGCACGGTCTATTTCTGTAACAAATCCCAACAGAATTAATATGATCATTCTAGTATAACATTGGTATATTGCATTACCTATTGATGCAGCAAAGAGAGAGATATGTGATTTAATTATTTCGGGAAAAATAAGAAGAAACAACTACACGCTCATATATTTATATGCATGGGAGTGCCTGTAAATTAAACCTTGTTATTCCTCCATTTTGGATAACACTGGCAGAAGATTGAAAACGTATTGGAAATTTTGTTTTTAACCGACCAATACATATGCAATCGTTTTAATGACGGGGAAATTGCTAAAAAGGACTGTCAGGAAACATTATTTATGCAACATTGAGGAAATTAAGAAACTTTATCCTTCAAGTAATTTCTCATTTAATTTTAATCCACTTGTAGAATCTTAATTCTTTTTTTTTTTCAAATAATTTTATTATCCGGGTTCATCTAGCAATATTAAGGTTAAAAACAACAAAACAAACAGTGGCGCAACCGTAGAAACTGACAATTTTGACCCAAAATAAGCTGTGAAAACTGACAGGTGACATCTCCAGAATGATCGTAACGTGACACACTGTTTTTTCCCGAATTTAACCAGCAATATCCGTATGGCAATGGAGCTCCATCTTACCAAAAAAAAAAAAGCTAGTATTTTTAGGGAAAATGGTATTTAAATATTTATATATCATTTTAAAATTTTAAAAATTAAAATGTGTGTATTTATTGAAATTATTATTTATATTTTATAAAATTATTATCAGTATTGTTATATGTTATTACTTATATATTAAAATATTTCAAATATCGAGCTATACAATTATTTAAAAAGAATATTGCTTCGAATAAATGTATAAGGATTTGTTTAAAATGCATTAACGTCATTCATGAGAACATAACGAATTCGTGGCCTCTGATCTATGGTAGCATTTTCACCCTTCCATCCGGTGGTAGATATGGATATATAAATGCTAATTAACTGGCTGAGAGCGTCACCAGCCCACCACCCACTGGCCTTTTTTAAATGAAACCACCCACTGGCATTTAATATAGTAACAATTTATGACTTCCCTGAGGAGCGATTTAATATATTAATAAACTACAAGCACGTGATATTATTTTATATTATATTGATAATAAAATACGTTGGCAAGAAAAAAGATATATAATAAAATACACAAATATATTAACGTGTTTGAAGTGTTAACTAGAGTGCATTGAGTTTAATATGAACCACACAGTTCATAACTCATAAATTTTTGCATAAACAGGTTGCTTTAAATTTATTTTTTTTTTTTAAAAAGAACAAGTTATCGCGAATATCTTTCAGCAAGCAAAACGACGATGACAAGTGGTACTCAACTGGGGAACTTGCTCAAAGCCCGCATCAGTGTGTCTGCGTTCCCATGGCGTATCCAACAAAAGAAAATAGGATGTAACATGCTATAGGACGTTAGACTGGTAATAGGAATTGGGCAAGTAAAGACCAGTGAAACGTCATGTAAACGAACAAACCATAAGTGTTTACAGAAGACTTGTCAACGCTACCACAGCCCGTGGGGAATATCCTGGGACGAGGTCAATAACCAATAATTAGTGCTCGCGGTCAACTTGAACCCGGTCTGGTCTACAGGGAAGACAATACTTGGCGATCGCAACCCTTGGTCACAGTATCTTGGTCTCGTACATGAAGCCACTGTTGATAGTCGTTCGGGATTCCCCGGGAAACGGGGAACGAGTTGGAGTATTTTAAAAAAAAAAAAAAAGTGGCAGAGAATAATCAACGGGCGGGGCCTGGATGTGGATGGGAGTCTCGTAGACTGAGCAACAATTTGGACTTGTCCCTTGCTTTTACTATTCCGATCCTCACCACCTCCACTGGTATTTCCGTGAACATTCCTCTTCTTAAATTTCAGCTTTGCATGGTACTCTCGATTCCAACATCGCATATCCCACTATAAGTAGGACGTTCAGCAGAGCAAATTATCGAACCACCAAAATCTGGATCTTGCCTTTATAATTTAGCACATACGACTCCTTTCTCTGACGCTTGCTTTGCCCGAAAGTTTATATGTAGACTCTACACAATCACCATTTTCATCGCCAGTCATTGCCGAGGTGGAATCCACATGCTTTCTATCTAACACTAACCCATCATCTGCCACCGAAAGGGTCATTAAGGACAACTGTAAACGCGACGCAACTATGAAATCAAAATATGGAGAGGTTGATACGACAATGATCATTGAATTGCAGAGTCCAATCGTTTTGTCAAAAACAAAACCTCTAATGTGTGGAGCCTACTTGTTTCAAACAGTAGAGCAATTTCTTGAATGGGCCGAAATAATTGGAGCCCAATTTCTTCCTCAAGCCACTTTCAACTACCCTAGTTACTCCTATATCCTCATTCAAGGGCAACAGATAGTTGACGGCCAAGGGCTCATCAATATTCTGGGACCGAAGCTAGTAGACAGCGACAAGTATGATGAAATTATGTTTCTTCATCCTTGCCCCATCCGTCTTACGGCAATGTGTTGGGTCAATGGTTTCTCCTTTTCCTTGTCATCGGCGGCCAAGCAGCTTGAGGTATGGAACTTAAGTCAATTCATTGCTGCGATTAATCTTGCTAATCATGATTCGGCACACTGTCAAGGTTTAAGTCATGGCCTGATTCCTAACATGATATTTGATTCGGGTATTTTGCTCTCCCTTCCTATTTCCGTGAAACATGATTTACAAGTATTTCATTGGTGAATTGATTTTGGAGAATTCATGTGGTTTGGAATTAATTTTGATGGGCATTCTATTCAGCAGAGGATCTTTGGCGGTGTGACTATTTGTTTAATATTTGATCCCGGGCCGACGACAACCATTTCACCTTGCATCTGTTATGGTTTGCTTTTATTCCTGGTTTTCTGCCATAACTTTGATTCATTGGATGATGATCGTGTTGAGATTGAGTTGTTAGCAATGCTCATGTTGAATTTCACAAAAAATCTACATCGAAACTCACTCTATGGTGACACTTTTGGGGATGAATCAACTTATTTATCTACTCCAATTTTTGAAAAGATCCCACTGTCATGTCACAATTTTTCTGCTATGTTTCCACTACTAATTTCACTGCTCAACTCTAAAATTGAAATGCGCGCTTGGTGCTTGAATGGTATTGATGTTTATTACCCTATACTATGTCGGCACTGTTGCAAATCATATGCTTCTGATTCAATCATATTGATAGCTAGCTTTACATTAGTGAGCCGGAGCCTTCCAAGTTTTAACAATGATTCATGGGACTTTACTATGTTTCCATCTCTTTCAACCACTCCATTGATGACACCTCTGTCCTACTAGCTTCCCAGCTTTGTTCCCATTTTATATATTCTTGTTTGACCCAGGGGATAGTGAGAAGGTCTGGTGTTCGACTTTTGTTTCTGACTTAAATCAGTTAAAGGCAATTGTAACGGGTGTTATTGTAACTGGTGTGTTCGTGGATATATATATATATATATATATTGTGATTTCTTCATGGAGATCTCAACTTCAACAATGGGTGGGCATCAAACCTAAATCATTTATTCCTTATTTGGTTAATTTTCTTCAAGACACCTATGAGGTAATTAGTAGGGTGCTCAATGCTGTAAAAGCTGTAAAAGATATGCCATGCAGCGACTTGTCCTGCTCCTTATTAATGTGGGGTCTTCACTTGGTATGGCATTTGTCTCCTTGCATAGATGAGGTCCTACTCTTCTATCTGTGTCATATTACTAGAAGGATTGCTATTGTCATCAGTGGTATTTGGGATTTGTATGACACTCTTTCAATTAGAGTTAGTAGTGAAGGATCTCCCTATCAAATTATTGTCCACCAACATGATTATTGTCTTGTTTCTACTGGTGGCACCCCAAGAAGGCAATTTGGATTTTTATTTTTCTTTCACTGTCATTGCCTCCCCAATACTCTTCTTGCGATGACATCATGCAAAGCAGTGCTTCTCTTTCTGGGCAGTAATCATCACATGTACTCCCTCATCATGTTTGCCTTTTTCAAAGCCTTGGGTTATCTCCATCAAAATGGGTTACTACCTTTCAAGTTGAATTTCCAAATGGAACAAGTATTCCTCATGCTTGTTGCTGTCATTTATGAATTGGTGCAAGATGGAATTCCTTCCTATATTAACAAAAGAGATTCTTTGGCTATTTTGACATGCTACTTTTCATCTCTTGACCTTGAGGACAAGGTCAAAGTTTATAGGGAGGGCAATGTCACGACATGGAGTGTGAACATATTAAATGATGACGTGGCAAAGTTTGTTAGAAGAAATCATGGCGTGAAAGAAGGAATGTGGGAATGGTGTGAGCAACTCTTTAATTATAAAGAGGAAGAGGATGAAGCTATGTGGTGGATGATTTTAGTGATGTTTTCTCTCTGACTTATGCTTCTCTTTTCCTCTGTATCTGTTTTATCTTCCCTTCCCCCTCAACTCTGTAACTCTGCTTTCTCTGCTTATTTTCCCTTCTGTTATCATCTTTTCTGAACTATTTCCCTGTACTCAACTTTGCGACTGAACTTTAGAATTAAATAATATCTTGAGCTGGAATATTTGATCCATATTAGTCTTGTGTTTTGCTGAGTACGTGACAGAAACCTAATCACCATTCTCAGCATCGATGGGGGTGGTATCAAGGGCATCATTCCCGCTACCATTCTCGAATTCCTCGAATCTCAACTCCAGGTATAAATCTAAAATATATATTCGCATACATAGATGCACTTGGAACGCTCACGTTTGCTGTGGTGTCTCCTGGATGCGCTCTTTAATATATGAGGAATATCATGTAGTACTTGTTCGGAGTACAATAATTATTGTATTTGACATTTGTGATATAAATTTAATTTCGTGTGTCTCCCTACATACTTGCTTTGTAGAAAATATATTAATTTCTAAACTATATATATTATATGACAAATGAATTTAAAGTTGATGTATAAAATAATTATTTTAACAATAATTTGGACGGGCATGCAGGAACTGGATGGTGAAGAAGCAAGGCTTGCAGACTACTTTGACGTGATTGCAGGAACCAGCACGGGGGGTCTCATAACCGCCATGCTCACTGCTCCGGATGAACAGAAGAGACCACTTTTTGCTGCCAAAGATATCAAGCCCTTTTACCTGGAGCATTGTCCAAAGATATTCCCGCAAAAGCATCTATCACTATTTATCTATCTAGAAACTATGATTTCTCTTTTCTGTTTTAATCAATGATAAACTGAAACCTAAATGATCTGATTCTGATTTCTAACCTATACTTACGAATAAATTTCTAGATTCTTATTTGGATCGACTAGAAAATGGTTCAGATCACTGGTTGGTCCCAAGTACGATGGCGAATACCTTCACCAAGTGGTGAGACAGAAGTTGGGAGAAACTAGGTTGCACGAGACACTTACCAACATTGTCATCCCCACCTTTGACATAAAGGCGATGCAGCCGGCCATATTCTCATCCTATCAGATCAAGAAGTCCCCTTGTTTGGATGCTAGACTATCTGACATATGCATCGGCACCTCTGCCGCACCAACCCTTCTTCCAGGCTACCACTTCAAGAACCAAGATCCCGAAGGCAACGTCCGTGAATTCAATCTTATTGATGGAAGTGTTGCTGCAAATAATCCTGTACGTTGTATAAGTTGATATTCACGAACAACGTGAAATTTTCCTCCCAGCAAACTATTGTTTTTAATTATATATATTTATATCGGATGAGTCCGCCTAATTAACTTTTGATTCTGTAATGATGCAGACTTTAGTCGCCTTGAACCAAGTAACGCAGCAGGTCATCATTGAAAATCCTGACTTCTTCTCCATCAGGCCCATGGATTATGGTCGCTTCCTCATAATCTCGATAGGCACAGGCACAGCAAAGAATGAGCAAAAATTCAACGCAAAAATGGCTGCCAGATTGGGACTGAAGGGTTGGTTAAGCTGCGGTGGTTCTCGTCCTTTGATCGATGTGTTTACCCAATCCAGTGCTGATATCGTCGACTTTCATTTAGCCACCGTCACCCAAGCCCTTAATTCACAGGATCACTACCTTCGGATACAGGTGTGTGTGTGTGTGTGTCTCCCCTCTTTCTAAATATTGCCCATCAATGCATTAATTAATGTGTGAATAAAGTTTAAAATCTATATATACTTCAATACAAAAATTTAATTATTCCTCACTGGTGGGGCCCAAATGCAGGACGATACGTTGATGGGTACGGTTTCTTCGGTGGATATTTCTACAACAGAGAATCTGGAGAAACTGGGCCAAATTGGTAGAGAGCTGTTGAAGAAACCAGTCTCAAGAGTCAATTTAGAGACGGGTCTTTGTGAGCCAATCGAAAACGGCGGGACCAATGAGCATGCCCTTAAAAAGTATGATATATATCTTAAGACACTTAATTAATACCTCTAGAATCTATTTGCTAGAATCAAGCAATTAAATATGCTTAGATTAAATAATTGAAAGTCTCTATTAATTGTTTCCATGTATATCATCTGCAGATTTGCCAAGATACTTTCCCAAGAAAGAAGATTGCGGGAAATGACATCTCCAAATACGGGCAGGCAGCAGGGCCTAACAGATTGTCTATATTGTTTCCACAGTCGCCGCCAGATTATTTGATTATTTCTCGTTGTTCTGTAATAGAATTAGTCAATTTGATTCGTTATATATTTATTTGATTTCCCTGTCCACTGTTCTGTTAAAGAAGGTATAATATTTTTCCTTCATGCTGCACGTTAATACTCAACTAATCATGTTCTTCGATAAAGCCCTAAATTGATGTCCATGTCAAAGTATTTTAATTTTTGTCATGAAAGTATACTTTATATCAGTTTATAATATCTGGCTTTTAATGATGGTTTTGTCAGCTTTGGGGTCTAATTTATGTCTGAGCATTCGAATCACCAGAATGCATTATTCCCTTCAAATGGATTCTTTCACTTAAGAAGATTTCGAAGACATTTAATTATTTTTTCCAGTTCTATTTATATAAGTCACTTAACAATTTTTTAACTTTATTCTTATTAAATATATATATTTTAAAAGTAAAATATTTCAATATTTAATAACGTTCTTATATTTAATGAAGGCAGATGAGTAAAGATAAACACAATAATTATTGAGATATTTTATAAATAAAATTAAAATAAATAAGAAAAATTATTCTAATGTTTTGTAAAAATTTTTAAAATACCCTAAAATCCTATGAAAACAAAAAATTGTCAAGTTCTCAGGAGCTTAAGGGTGCATAAGTTTAAATATACAATTATCAATTTGTCCTCTAGAAGTAAAAGGAAATTTCATGTATGTGTCTCACGTAATCCATGATCAATGATATTGCCAAATATTCATGATTGTAGAATAATTTTCACTTCATCATATATATGATTACCACCCTTATTTTCATCTAAGTGAGTTGGATGTGTTCCATCCATGATTGTAAGATTTCATCGAAAGAAAACAATACAGGAATTGCTGAACAAGTAAACAATTTCTTGTTTGTTAATGATTCCAATATTGTTTAAAGGTAGAATAATGCTTCATGGGTATACCCGCAATAGGTGTTCGTTTGGTTCGCATAGCTAATAAGTATGAAATAATCTGGTGCGACATTAATATGTTAAAAAATCTATGAGATGAATAACACTATATATTATCAATAGTGCACAGCTGTGTTGTCAATATGCCATGGGTAGTAATTAATACACAATATTGTGTAAGGTGACTTGTAAAAATGCAAGTTTTTCTAGAAAACAGGTATTATGTTATGTTTTTTCATATGGGAGGACATTTTATAGATGATTCCTAAACATCTGGTGCAAGCTTGATCTATTGAAAAAACTTTATTATGAAATAACACTATATGTTGTTAATAGTGGATGCTTGTGTCGTCATTATACTATGTATATTTGTTAATGCACTGTGTATGATGCAACTTAACCTGTAAGATAATAAGTTTTTTTTAGAAAACATATGTTATGTTTTTTCCACGTAGGGGGACATTTTCAAAATAATGACTAAAAAATTGTATGCAAAATGTGGGGTGGAAATGTAAGAGATCAAGAACAACAAAGGAAGGGACAACATGTGAAGAGTTGATAAGAATGATATCATTGATTATATTTATAGGAAATGAAAATAATATAATCCAATTAAAATTTACAGTCAACATTGATACAAGCATACTTGGAGATTTAGTTGATGATGATAGAGTAAAACACTTGGAACAAAGTGAACATGTGTATGTAGTTGTAAATGAGAATGACACCATACAAGCACTAATATATTGCTTAATGGAGAACCAACACATGAAAGTTATCTAATTTTTTTTTTTTTGGTTAATGTACATAATGTTGACAAGTACTATTACTAATGTTGTCATTGAATGCATGATAGATAATTTGTTAGGAGGTTCAAATGGATGTTCTTACCCTCTGCGAGCTATTTATTCTAATGTGATTTGAAGACTCACAATTTGCAAATTTGTTATTGTCTTTTAAAACTTTTTTAACCCTTAACTCCTTGGGGACTTGACATCTATTTGGTGATTTCATGAAATTTTAAGGTATTTTGAATACTTTTACAGGACCTTAGAGTAATTTTTCCAAATAAATATGCTCTCACCTTTTTATAAACAGGAACTAGAAGATTAAGTATGAGCAAGTCGTGATGCTAATTAATAGTAATTAAGAGTAAGTGTAAAAATATGTGTGTACACCCACCCACGCTTGCGGGTGCTCGCGAATAAATTCGCTCAAGTCACGAATGTATATAATTTAATTTAGAGACTTTTACTTATATAGCCCATTTAATAGGATTAGACAAAGATAACAGCTAAACATTTCAAATATTTTGCAATGTACCTAGATTAATATTTAACTTAAATTAAAATGATAATACCCCTTCTACTTAGATAAAATATCTCACTCTCATTCTCAAATTTAATATATATTATGCCCACTAATAAAACTGATGGTGAAGTGTTTAAATATTGAAGTGATATATGATTGTAAATGGCTCACAATTGTAATCGTTTAGTTACGAGACTTTTGCTATTCTATTACACAAGTTTTTTTAGTTGTTTTGGAAATAAAAAGAGAAAATCACACCCCAACTAATTAAAAATAAGTCACATTTCAAAATTTCCAATAACTTCTTTCATAATTTTTTATTAATATATTTTTTACGGTCATTAGGCTAAATTATTCTTTAATTTATCGGTTTATCCTAAAATTAAAATCTTTGTCCTGTTTATTTAGATATAGTTCGTACAAATCAAGTAATGATTTGTACACGAAAAAGAAAATCGTGAATGAAAGATTTGTACACGAAAAAGAAAATCGTGAATGAAAAGGGATCTTTTGTTTTTTTTTTTTGGGTCAAGAAAAAGGGATCAATTTAATTATTGCGAGATTGACAAACTGAACTGGGGCTATTCATAATAACGAAGCCGGAAAATCAGTGACCCTCAAGGGCAAGAAATAAAATTGTTATTCAATTCTAATTGGGTGGCAGGTGACTTCACCTGTATCAAAAAATCAGCGTCCCTCGAAGCAAGAAATAGAGACAGTAACATTTGGCTGCTTTTGCCCTTCTTGGGAACAACTTGCAAGCCCACTTCCCCCTCAATTCTGGGGTCCATCACTGCGGTAACCAGGAGCGTAAGTTGCAGAATAACGAGAGCGCGTGAAACTGGCAACCCAGGACCAGAATTTACATAAGGAAACCCCAATAATTGGTTCAAGGAAATGAAAAGGGAGGAAGTTAAGAGAAGATTTCGATGAGATTAAAAGACAGAAATTGAAGGATTATTCAATAAATAACAATTGAATAAAAAGAGTCAAGTTAGAGTTTTACTAAATTTAGGTGAAGCAAAATTTACCTGGCTATTTACATAAGTTTAAGCTGTTAAAATTTAGACTATATTGCACAATAGATGCATCGAAGAGAGACAAAAACAAACCAAACAATTGCTCAGTAACTCTCGAGTATGCTTTACTTTCAGCCACCTATCTCTATTTATAAGGAAGGAAGGCTATTTTTGAAAAAAAAAAATCTAATCAATAATAATTTGTTTCATTATGAAGAGAATAAATTAATTGACATAATCACCATTATTATAGAGATTACTTCTTCTTTTGGGATTCAGTCAAAAATTAATCAAATTAATTTTAAATTTCAGTCAACTTATCATCACCAAATTTATATCATATCCCACTGATGGCTCATAAGGGCAGATTTAATGCAAATTCCAACAGAAATAAACTTGATTAATGTTTAGCAAAAAAAAAACTTGATTGATGTTTTATTTTTATTCTTGTACTGCTGTGTTAGTCACGGGACTGACAGCACAGTTGCGAGCAACGTGAATTATATATATATATATATATATGTATGTATGTATAAAAATTGGTCTTTCCAGACTAAATTTACAATATAAAAAATAAAATAACTGTGAAGAGTCCCACCAAACAGTCACACATAACAATCCGGGCCCATATGGTGGATGGATGGAAGGACGAAAGTTAAGTGAAATAGGAAAATTATGCAGCCCGCCGCTGACTTCGTCTCCGTCGTTATCATTTCTAATACCTCCATTGAAGTTTCCCTATTAGTACTAGCTGCCATTCTTAGAGCTGGGAGTCCTGCACTGAATTGTCTGTCTCCTATCAATGGAAAGAGCAAAGTCATCCGTTGAACAAATCCAACCCCCGACTTATGGGAACTTGGTAACCATTCTGAGCATCGATGGCGGTGGCATTAGGGGTATAATCCCCGCCACTATTCTTGCTTTCCTCGAATCTAAACTCCAAGTGTGTGTGTGTGTGTCCACCACCGCTCTTTGAGTAATTACGTAAAACTGTCGAGAAGCATTATGAATAGCACGTATTACCTCTCATATATATAATTAAGCTGGATCTTCACTTGCAAGAGCTGGACGGGGAGGATGCAAGACTTGCAGACTATTTCGATGTGATCGCAGGAACAAGCACGGGCGGTCTTGTGACGGCCATGCTAGCTGCTCCGGATAAAAACAATCGCCCCGCTTTTGCTGCTAAAGATATCAAACCCTTTTATCTGGACCACTGCCCAAAAATTTTCCCTCACGCGGGTATAATAGTAAAAGCACTACGTATTGATATATATGCTTCTGTTTAAAGTATCTGCGCGCGCGCTTAATTATAATTGATAATATTTGGGAAATTCATTGAAATTTGAGTTCATTTGCAAAGGGGGGTGTGCGCGATGGTGGTAGTAAAAGTAATCAGATCGTTGGGAGGACCCAAATACGATGGAAAATATCTTCACTGGATCGTCGGAGAGAAGCTGGGAGAAACTCGTCTGCAACAGACACTAACCAACGTCGTCATTCCCACCTTCGACATCAAGCAGCCAACCATTTTTTCTTCTTATCAGGTCTGTCTACCTCAGCCTCAGATTTCTATGAAAGACTTTATTTTTGCCTTCGACGTACGTACAGGGGTAATAATTTAATAATTTCATTGGTCCTGCCTACTGTTAGCTACAACGACCTCCACTTTGGTACTTGAAAATTTTTTGAAGAAATTGATGACTAAGAAATAAGTACGTGTGTGTATTCGTTTAGCTCTGACCTCTGAGCCAGCCGTGCATCCCTGTTCATCTGTAAATTTTGACGGGATATACTTTAATTATTTGATCAACGTACACCTAGGATTGACGGCCTTCACTGTTAGCTGGAAATCCTTTTCAAAATCTCCAAAAATCAGAGGAAAAAGTCTGCAATTTACTTGAAAAGAAGATTAATTAAATACAAAGAAGATTAATCAAATAAAAATAATTATCAAGAGCTAAACAGATTTCAAATTGATACAGATTAAGAGGAATCCTTGCCTGAACGCAAGACTCGCAGACATATGCATCAGCACATCGGCGGCGCCTACTTATCTTCCTGCCCACCACTTCAAGAACCAAGGCGCTGGCAAAGAACGTGAATTCAACCTCATTGACGGTGGCGTGGCTGCAAATAATCCGGTACAACACATAACTCAATATCCAACAAACTGATGCTTATTCAATTCAAATTTTACTAGTACACGAGTGTGCGTGGATTATTTATTATTTCTTATACTGGAAGCATCACTAATTATTGCGCAATTATACTATATTGTATTTTTCTCTCGGGTCCAGACTCTAGTGGCTATGAACCAGATAACGAAACAGATAATGGACGAGAATCCGGACTTCCATGCGTTGAAGCCCCTGGAAATTAGGCGCTTCCTAATAATCTCACTAGGGACGGGCACGCCCAAGAATGAGCAAAAATTCACTGCACAAGTAGCAGCCAAGTGGGGCCTACTGGATTGGCTATCCCACGGGGGCTCTACGCCTTTAGTGGACGTGTTCACTCAATCAAGCGCGGATATGGTTGATTTCCATGTAGCTACTGTCACTCAAGCACTTCAATGCGAAGATCATTATCTCCGAATACAGGTCATTTAAATTATAATTTTAGAGAGAAATATATATAGCATGATTAACAAGAATGAATTAATACTATAAAATCGGACGAGTTAAATTTGCTGAACACAACCACATATATATGCGCGCAGGATGATACACTGACGGGCACAGATTCTTCTGTCGACATTGCTACGGCAGAGAACTTGCGGAAGCTGGAACAGATTGGGGAAAGGCTGTTGAAGAAACCTGTCTCTAGGGTGAACCTGGAGACTGGGCAGTTTGAGCCAGCAGAAAACGGTGGGACCAATGAGGAAGCTCTCGTTAGGTAAGGAGAATGCCGACGGGTCAATCAATGGCTTTAATTTAAATTAGGTTTTAAATATTAAATTTTAAAAATATATAATTTAATCTCTTAATTTTATAATTACGCTGTGATGAATTAACAATTTATTTTTTAAATTTTAATATAATTAAAGAATAAAAAAATTATTTTTTTATTAGAATTTAAAGTATAAATTATAAATTCATGAAATTTTACACTTAGGACTTAACTTGATTTGTTATTCTCCCTTATTATATTAAATATATTGTATTCTAACTCGCAGTTCACTAATTTCTGGTTTTAATTAATTCCTCAGGTTTGCGAATTTACTTTCCCATGAGAGAAGACTCCGAGATATGAGATCTCCACACACCAACAAGGCCTTGAGAAGCGGCGCCGTCGTCAAATTGGATGTGTCCGTCTAGCAGTTTCGATTCAAATTCTAATCAATTTATGGTTCAGCTTCATCAGTAAACTTATGGAATTTCATGTCCTTACTTTTCTCTTTAATTATTAGTATCCCATCTTCTCATGCAACGACTTTTCTTTGATTGGAAGTTTAATTTAATCAAATCCATGCCCGGAATAAATGCTGTCGGGATGATTTTTTATGCTTCTATATTTTTTTGTTTTACAAAAATTAATCTATCAATCTTTATAGATGCATAAAAGCAAATACCAATATGATCTGTGGACGGAATGTACTTCCTATACCATCGAAACCTAAGTTTTTTTTTGGCCAAAGTAAATATCAACAACTAACAAAACACTAATTCAAAATGAAAAAGATATATGTTAAGGGTGTGTTTGATTGAAAGTTTTTTTTTTTTAAAAAAAGGAGGAGAGTTGCTTCATTTTGTTTATTTGGTTAGTGATTAATACAGAAAAGGGAGGAGAACCCCTTGCTTGTAACCCTTGGGATTCTTTGGAAGGGAGAAGAGAGAGAAAATAATTAAAATAAATTTAAATATTTATTTTAAAAATCTTGAATTACTTTTGATATTAAAAAGTTATGTATTATTTCTCCCTCTCTCTCTCTATCATAAAATAAATTTTATCACCTTACAAAAATAATATATAATTTTTTAATGTATAAAATTTTAATATTTTTCATTAGATTCACTAATAAAATATAATTTTTTCTTCAAATTGTTTTTATTAATATAAATTCACATTCTTAAAATAAAAACTTAATAAATTCTAATATAACAGTTTTTTTCAAAGCAAAAAATAAAAATGAGTTAAATTTGATAAAAATAAAATTGTTAACTTATTTTTGATTCCTCTCCCCTCCTAAACCAAACAAATGTTTTAAAACCCTCTCCTTCCCCTCCCTCCATTAAAATCCCTCTCCTCTCTTCCCTGCCTTCCTCTCAAACCAAACACAATCTAAGGAAAAAAAACAAGAAAAGAAAAATGAAGAGCAATATCTTGATCTTGGAAAGAAAACAAGCCGGAGAATGGGAGCGTAAAAGCCAATTTAAAGATCACATCTCTACAGCCGAAGCACCAACAATCTAGTCTGCAGCCTAGTAGAGTCTTCTAAAGATCCCTTGAAAGCAAAGATTGCTTAAAGGCTCACCAGATTAAAGAAAAAATCCACAGCGGCTCTGCTATCCCATTCAAGGAGAAGAAAATCAAATTAACACCAATAAGCACTAGTAAAGAAACATCCCGAAATGGAAGTTATGCATTAAGAGAAGATAAAGAGACTCCACACCCCCAATGACTACTGAAGTAGAAAACCAAACTCCTAGTAGAATCCATTTCTTATCTCCAATAATAATCCACATAATGGAACTCAAAGAGACTAAGGTAGAAGGCCAATATATGATATAGCACGTTAAAACTCCCAGGCAAGAAAACAGAATCATTTATAGATTCCACTAACACTAATTCAGAACCAAGGAGAAAACTCAACAACAATCATCAATGGATCTCATAAGAACATACCAAATCAGACCATTCAAATCCAAAGAGAAAGGGGTATGGAAGGATAGTGCCATGAGAGTTCCAACTGCATCAACATTGCCACGGTCCCTAATAAGCTGACTCATCCATGAGAGCCGATTCCACCTTTGATTCAAAGCACCCAAGCAGCAAATAAAACTATGATGCTGACAGATCTAGGGTACCCATCGAAGATTCCTAACCTCTAAATCAATGCATTGAAACCATTCTAAGGCACCACCAACATACTGTAGATTATCCTTCCTCTCCAACACCGCAATCCTATTTTGATCTCCCCCAACTCACACATGCTAATCCACGTGCACACCAACCCATAGAACAAAGACACCCATACCCTCTTACCCAGTGAGAGCTGAGAAGAGAGAAGCGATGATCTCATCATGAAAAAGAAAGGGTAAAAAACTATTAGCAGAGCAAAGCTTTGCACCTCGGCAAGGACTGAGGGGCTCCTAAAAGGCGAGAGCATTCCTCTTTCAAGTTTACTTCACATATCTTGATGTTTTTGAAACCTACATTGAATGATTAAGGAAGAATGACAAAAAATACCTTCAAAATATGTGAATGACAATGAGGTCTTGTAAGATGTGATAATTTTTTTCAAGTCATTTGGAACTTGTTTGTCTATAAAATTTAAACTAAAAAGACATTTTTGTCCTTATAAAAGCCCCTCCATTTGTTGCCCATTGGCTCCTTTATTATCTCCCAATGAAAATGTTGAGAGTTGGACTATGAAAATCTGAGAAATTCAAAGTTAGAATAAAATATTAAGGCATGTCTTAATATTTCCATCCATCATTCAAATATTGAGGGTTTAAAGTTTAAAACATAACATATTTGTGATTAATTTCAATAACCTCTCACTCTATAAGTATCTAAAGCTCCTGTATGAAGCAATTCTTTGGAGGCTTCCTCTCTGCAATTGGCCTTCAACACTGCAAGGTAAAGATTACTGAGTTAAAGATGCATCAATCACAATTTAAAAAGAGCAGCCTGATCAGTGAGAAAGCTTATGCATGCGATCCCGTTGACATAAAGTGAAAAAAAAATATTCCATTGAATGCATCTTCATCCTATAAATCAAAGGCCATGGCCAGGGGTGACGTCTTGGGAAGATCCAAAGGAGGGGATTGAAATATCGGAGTGAGAAAGATACTTCTTCTAATAAGAGAGAGAGAGAGCTAAAAGGGAGGCAGTGAGGGGTGAAAATGTCTTTTTTACTTAAAATTCATTGGCAGACAAGTTCTTAAGGACATGAGAAAAATTATCATATTTTACAAAATTTTATTGTCATTTACATATTTTATGGAGACTATCTCTCAGTGATTAATTATCCCAGTGATTAAAATAAAATATTTTTTTAACTGGTCCCTGCAAGCATCCATCATCGTTTGCTTCAACAAAGTTAAGTGGAAAATGGACTTTAGTGGAATTGGATCCTCTCCTTTTTTCTTCTTTTCATCCTATTCTCACCTTGGATTGAAAATTCAACGGTTAAGATTTAATGTTTTATAAAAACCATTATAATAAAAACAATCAATAAAAAAAACACAGATCTAGACCATTAAAATCTTATCTAAGCAATTTACTATTATAAAACTATAATCAAAATAAATAAATAAATAAATTTAATTAAATCTCAATTATTAAATTTTTATTTCCCGGTGAGGATGGGATAAGGAGAAGAAAATGACAGGATCCAAATCCCTTTTTAATCATTACAAGAGGTCAATATAGGACATCCATTTATGCATCCTCCGCTGTTTCAATGATTTGTTAGACCATGAATATTACCAGCCCATGTGCAACTGATTAGGCTCTCAAATCCCATATAGAAATGCATGTTCCCCGAACGGGGTTAGATAATGGGTAAACTTTTTTTAAGAAAAAATGAACAATAATTAGATCCAAAATAATAGGTTAGATGAATTGAACTGCAACTATATCTTTCTTGAGAGAATTATATACAAGGC